TGATAAAAAAAAACGTAAAGAATTGTTAAAAAAATGGACCTAAATTTATAAATTATTTTTAAAAATACAAAAGAATTATCAAAAATGAGAAAAAAAAATTGAGAAAAGATATAGTAAGAAAAATAAATTGAGAAAAGATACAAATAAAGTAAAGAAATCGCACAAAGTTAGAAATAAAATAAGAAGGAATGACAAAAATAAATAAAAATTTAAGAAAAATTAAAAATTTATAATTTTAAAAAAATTACGATTTTCCTTTTTTGAATGGGAATTTTCCTTTTTTGATTGACACTTTTCCTTTCCTTTTGGGAATTTTCTATTTTCGATTGACATTTTTCCTTTTTTGATTGGACCTTTTCCTTTTTTGTTTGACATTTTTCACTTTTTTGATCGGACTTTTTCCTTTTTTTGGGGGAATTTTCCTTTTTTGATTAACACTTTTCCTTTTTTGTTTGGACCTTTTACTTTTATGATTTAAACTTTTCCTTTTTTGATTGGAACTTTTTCTTTTTTGAATGGGAAACCCTTTTATATACCCCTCTGCCAATTAGCGATACGAGACAAAATGTAATAAGTAACGAGAACAAAATATTATCACATTGGATTAATGACATTTTATAAAATGATACTAAAGAGGCCACAGTTCTCAATCCGGAATCACAAAGGTTTAACATTGAAACAAATTGTGAAACCGATATGGTTAGTTAAGCAAGGAATGAGTAAATCAAGCCTTTTTATTATATAGGAAAAATGAACTAGGAAACGATCGATGATGGGAGGGGTATATTGGAATTAGAGGTCTGCACCCACCCAATGTTTTATTAACCAGCCCGCCCAACCCATCCAAAGTTTTCAAAAAAATATATACCCGCCCGGCCGGCCTATTTGTCTAAAATTCCTTACCTGCCCGCTCATTAGTCTAAAATTTTTTACCCGCCCGCCAATTATTTATATAAAATTTTAACACAAGTCCACTTATAAAATTTAATAATGGCCATTCTTTCAATTTTTTAAGCATCTAATAAAAATATTTGAGCATTATACCTCCACAAAAAGTTTATAATTTAGGAAATTAATTTAATCATAAAAAAATTTTCAATTTAAATTATGAACAATTTATTTGATCAAATAGAATATTTATGAAATAAATATAAAATTGATATTATATGTAATTATAATGCAAAAATAATAATGAATCGACATTTTCTGGATTCAAACACGTTCTTCTTTGTTCTAAAAACCTTCCAACAATGCTAAATCTTTGTTCAGAAGAAGCACTAGTTGCAGGAATTTCCAATATTTTCTTGCTAATCTTGATAGCATTGGCAAATCTCCACCAAAGTAGGATATCCGTCTGAAGTATATCCTCTTCCTCAGTGAGATCCGGATATTTCGTATGCCATATATGTAAAACTCTTTTTTGAAGTGAATACGAAGATTAATCTACCATTCCAAAATAAAATACCGCGCTATTTTCGAAATCGTTTCATGCTATTCGGAATAGTAACAGAACAAAATACTATGCAGTTTTATAAACCAGACGTCAAGTTAATATTAGAAACAGATGCATCTAACCAAGGATTTGGAGCTGTATTCATGCAAAAATGTGATAATGGTAACAAATTTCTAATAGCTTACACCTCAAGAACTTTACAAGACGCTAAAAAGAATTATTCTACAATAGACAAAGAAGCAAAAGCAATAATAAACGGCGTAGAATTATCTCATAAATATTTGTATGGACGAAAATTTAAAATTTGAACAGACCACGAACCTTTTATAAAGATATATGGTAATAACAGAGATTTAAGCTCATTAACGAACTAAAGATTATTACATTGGGTATGATTAATAATGTACAAGAAGGCGCTAATAATATAATTGCAGATGCTTTATCGCGAAACCCAATAGAGAAAAATGATGATAGAATAGCAAGTGAAAATAAAACAGTGAAATATATAAGAAATCTTACTTATGACACATTAACTTTATCAAGAAAAGAAATTGTGCAAATATACAAATTAAGCACCAGAATTACAAGCTTTTAGAACAAGAATAGATGAAATAGAAAATGATGACGGTATTTTATTTTGGAATGGCAGATTAATCATTCCGTACTCACTTCAAAAAAAAGTTTTGCATATATTGCATACGGGACATCCGGGTATTACAACCATGAAATCCATTACGAGACATTCATATGGTAGGAAAAATTAGATAAAGATGTCGAAAAACTAGTAAAGTGTTCTTCACTTAAAAAACGATTGGTACAATAAAAAAAGAATTAATGTTATTGATCATTTAATTAATTATGATTTTTCTTTAATTTGTTTTTGAACAAAAATTTTAAATTTCCTTAACCCGCCCGCCTATTGTTTAAATTTCTTAACCCGCCCACCCAACCGCCCGCCCATAGTTTCAAATTTTTTTAACCCACCCGCCCGCTTGCCTATTCTCAAAATTTTTTACCCGCCCATACGCCCGTCCACTTAGATGGGCGGGTGTAGGCGGGCGGACCGAAACCCCGCCCAATGTAGAATCTAGTTAGAATACCAGAATAAAAAGGCTACATGCTTATTAAATTTAAAAGTTTTGAGAACCATGCATTTGGGGTATCCATGCATATCATTCATGGAATCAAAATGTATTTACGTTTGGTGACCCAGGTTTAATGAGGAAATTGAAAGGTATGTAAAGAAGTGTGCAGGCAGCGAAAAACATCGAGAGGACATTTCTAAAGCACTGCCATATTCCTGTGACCCATCAAAAACCACCTGAGAGCTAATATATTGGCTTCGTTGGCTCTATTGACTCAGCTTACTGGTTAGTTAAAGTGGATATTACTCAATGCAGTTGGAGGAGGAGTTTTAAAAAGTATGTCGACAACACGCACAAGTTTCATGACAAATGGTAAATGATAATTATAATTGCGATACCTTCATAAAAGACAGAATATTTAACATATTTATTTCACTTCTTATCATATTATACTAAAAATGGCGGGCTGATTATTAAAGATCGAATATGTAGAGAGAATTCGGATAATGCAGTAGACTTTCTGTGATGTTATAATATGAATTAAAAATACAGTTACACAGGACGTTCACCAGCAGTTTTTCTTAGGACGATTATTAAAAGTTTAGGCTAAGAACGAAATCAATAAAGAATGGAAAAAAGAGGTAGTATTTGATCTTAGTGCAAACATTATACATAGTCAAGTCAGAGGAAAGGACGATAAAAAAAGTGCACGGATCAATAGCTTAATCAAAAGATTTTACAGGAACTGAAGTAAAATAAGGAAGGAAAACAATCGGCAAGAGCAAATAAATCATCAGAAAAAATGTTTGAGATAATATGAGAGTATATTTTATAAGCTATTTTGAGGGCGAGACATTTATAATGACGGTCATTTAAACCTCTATTTTTTATGAAATCTTTTAATTTCGGTTATTGTCTGAGGTTGATGCTCGGTTTCTAGCAGATGTTTCGATTATGGCCTTGATTGTTGCATTAATTATCATTTTAAACTATTTTTTACTAAATTGCTCAATTTTGTTAATTCCTATTTGATTTCTCAAGGCTACTTGTTTTCATCTAGACTCATTTCAGGGCCAGAGAATGCTAATAATTTTATTAAGCATAATTTACATCAGTGTAATGAGTTTATAGCTTATTATCTAAAGCAAACAAATTAAACCAGTTAAAGATCGACTTCTAAGTTTCATGTCTATGACAGCTTCCTCAAAGTTTAAATACTAGCCAAAGCTGTGATACATTGACCAAAATTGAGAATGAACTCCATCTCTCAGCGGCATCTGATCCTAAAAAAATAGGTTTTCCTTTTAAAATAGGTTTATTAGAGTTTCTTTGATGATATCCCATAAAACTCATGTAGCATCCTCAGAGTTTAAATACCTAGACAAAGTTTTGATATATTGGGCAAACTTGAGAAGGGCCTTCACCTCTCAGCACCATCTGATATTTTATCAAATCTTAAGATAGGTTTTTCCTTTAATAATAAGCTTATTAAAGTTTTTTTGATGATATCTCATAAAGCTGTCATGAGCTTCATGGAAATAATAATCTTTTTATCTCAGCCACTTTAACACTATATATTTCAGGAATATTTTATTACATACACACCTCCAAAACCCTCTCTATAAAAAAAATGTATAAAATATCTAATTATTTTCGAAAAAAATTATTTTAAATTATTTTTATAAAGATGCAACATAGCAAAAAGACCAGGCCTAAGCCCATTAAAATAAATAAAAAATCCAGTCCCCTAGAATATAATAATAGCCTAAGGGCCCATGAATATCTCTACGAGGCTTGCCACTTCCCTTTGTAAAATCCTTACTTTTAAAAATTGAGCCTAGTATATAAAGAATAAATATAATTTGACTTTAAAAAAGATTTTGGACATTAAAGTCTGTGCCTTTGATAATATCATGAAATTTGATATAAAGTATAATTCCTGTAATACTCAGAGAATATCAATTTAAAAATACCATTTTAATAAAAGCCCAACCAGTGTCAACTTTCCTAATTATGTTATGTTTAAAATAATATTTGGACATCAAAAATATTTGTAAAGTTTCTCTAATTATAACAAAGGGTTTAAATTTGCTATAATTAGCATATATATATATTTAATAATTCAATATAATTAAAAGCTAGTTGTGTTAAATTCTTTTGAATTTGACACTAAATTATATAAAAGTTTTACAAATAATTATTTTAAAAAAAATTTCTAATGCAAATTTAAACATTCCTGTTAATTTAATTTTAAATTATAGATAATAAGTTTTATATCCCCATAGTTTACCGTAATAAGTGTTATTACATTTGATTTTGTCAAACTCTACAAGATTGATTAGTGTTGCTAAGGAGGACACAATATTCTTTATAGAAAGTGAAGCATAAGAAAAAAACTTTTTGATTATAATGACAATAAATAAGAAAAAAAATGTATATATTATGTTTTTTTTAAAATATACCTGTAAAAGCGTAAGGAATGTCTTTTAGGAAAGCTTTATGAGTTCCGATTGGAACGCCCGATCTAGGATTTAGCATTTCGGAGATAAGTTTTTCTATCTATAAGTTTTTTGAATTTTTTTAGGATAAGATAGAAATTAATTTATTAGCCAAGGTGAAATTAAATTGTTTAGAAATATATTTTCTTGTCATGATTTAGAAAAATTACATAATAAAATTCTTTTACACCCTATTTTGTAGGTCTACTAACTACTCAATTTTGAGGTATAATTAAATATTTCTTCTTCAGTTAAATCTAATTCAACAAGATGGATAACTTTCATATGTCAGAAAACTATGTATATAAATATCAGAGACCTACAGAGTTCGGATTTTTTTTCAAAATTTTTTTTGGCCTGGGGATTTTACATTTTCTCGCCCGGTCTGGATTTTTTTAAAATAAAATTGTCAGGCCTGGCCCAGATTTTTTTAAAATATATTATATTTATTTTTAATTTTTATAGCTAATAATAGCGATTTAAAATATTTGGTTTTAAAATATGCGGCCAGCCCCGAGTATTTTATGGAAAATTAAAATACGGCCTTGCCAGGCCCGCCTACCCGGGCTTGTTGAATTTTTTGTGTGTTTCTTTTATAAATAAAATAATATAATAATAAAAATTTTCAAAATTATGAAATAATCTTTATTGACTAAACTCTTATTAAAAGTTGTCCAGTTTCTAGTTCATTTAGTAGCATCCCGAGTGTATTACTACTTTACCACGGGTATAGGGTGAATTATAAATTTTTCATTCCACGTATTTAGATAATACTAACAAAAAATACGAATTGAATATTTGTATTATTCGTATTCGATTTATATCTTCAAATCGAATAATTATATTATTAGTATTCTTACGAATCGAATAATTATATTATTGGTATTCATACTAATTGATATCAATTATTATTGGTATTCATACGAAACGAATAATTCCTGATTCTTACTTGGTTTACGATTAATAAAAACATTATTCAATTCAAAAATTAAACAAAATAAAAAAATAAAATCAGCAAGGAAATTGTTAAATATGTGAGAATAATTTTGAATATTTATGAATAATTTTGAATATAGAAATTATTTATAATTATTTGAAATTATACGAATAATTCGATTGAATAATTGAGAAAAAATTATTCGAATTTTAGAATCGAATAATTTTGTTATTCGTATTATAAATCGAATATTGACTAATTCGTTTTAGATATATTTAGGACTAGGTCCTTAAATATAAGAGATCAAATTCTCTTAGTTTTTTATTTAATAAGAGATCAAATTCTCTTAGTTTTTTATTTACCATATAGTATATTATTAATTTTGGGTAACAAATTATTGCAAACATATAAAATAGTGGTCACGTAAACCCAGTCTTTTATAATAAATTATAACTTATTTAATTTTTATTTATTAGAAAAATGCCATGTTTTATTTAGGCCTATATAATATTTTCGAATAGCTCCTCCTCTAATAGGCAAGTTATAAATTTAAAATGAGCCAAGTATCACTACAGATAAAATATAATCCTACGATTGTATTTTTAAACAATTAGATTATTTACGAATGATGATTTTATCAATAAAATCGTTTGTATTAGATATTTTAGAATCAAATTCATTAATTTCGAATATATACTAATAATTTAGGAATAGACAATACCGCATTTATAGATGATTATAATAATATATTAGTCAAAAAAATCAACGACCATATTTAATAACCACAGGTTTGTATCAATCCTGGTATCCCCATCCCCGTTTATATATATGCCACTTTTTTTGAAATCGAATATTGTATCAAGATTTAGTATCATAATGCAATTGTAAAACCTTATTTGAAATTCTTTAAAGTTTTTTTAAATATGAAAATATTAAGTAGTATAAATTAGAGGTCCGCGTGGTCAGGCCTGGACAATATTTTTAGCTGGGGTCGGACAAATTGTACCTAAATATTTTTACGAGCCTGGCAGGAGTTAATTTTTTTAAAGCTCATAACTATGCAAATTTATGTCGTTGTTCCATAATAATTTCAAGTCGGATAAGTACAAAATCATTTAAAGGGTTGGGCTGAACAAATTGTAATATATTCTTCAGGGCCTCTAGCGTAAAGGGAGGTTAATTAAGAGAACTTTGATATATATATTACACTCATCTTTTAAGTTAGTTTAAAATGAGTAATTCTTAAAAGTTTAAAATATGGTATAATTAGTTTAAAGGCTATTAACATATATTTATTATAATATTATTTCATTTAATTTATGAATTTTGGATAAGGATTTGCATAAAATGATATTTAAGAAACTTTGTAAATTTCTATTACCTTACGCTAGTGCTGTATACATTTCTAAAAAAATCGAACGCGTTCACTTTCAAGTTCACTTTCAAAAAAAAAGGAACGCGTTCACGTTCATGAACCGTTCAAAATTATGATAAATTTTTTTAAAATTTTTCTAATATAAATAAATGTCTTATATTTATTAACACATTAGCCATGTTAAAAAATAATATAGTTTTATTTTGATAATATAATTATAGATTCAAAATAATATTATATCAAATAAAAAGATATTTTTATTTATAAAAAAAATTTCTTATTAATTTTTAATAACATATTTTTATTTTCATCTGATAGACAAGAACGCTTGGCAGTTAATACGGCATTAGCTATACTAAAAACACGCTCAAGGGTAGATGAGATGTGATTGCGGTATTATACTTAATAAATAACTCTTTTAACTTGGGGAATTTATTAAAAACATTTATTTTTTTGTTATTTGCTTCAAAGAATTGAGATAAGTTATCCTTCACCAATCCATTCTCTACTTCCTCGACAAAAAAAAAGGATATCTCGGAATTAACAGTTCTTGCATTATCATTTCCAGGGTTTTAAAAAAATCTTTTCAATAACGCTATAAGTTTATTTTTAATAGGTTCGTTTTGTGGAAGTTTTATCCATGGCCATTGAAGCTTAAATACTGGATGTATAATTGCAGAAAGAACATTTTGATCTTCATATATATCTTCAAATCTTTAAAATAAAATAAAATATATGTAATTAATTGAGAGTGATAGGTTTAATACCTTTTATTAATACCATTTAATACGGCGTCTATCAATGGTTGACCATATTTGAGGCCACTATTTTTTTTTATTTTAAAATAACTATCGTTATTGTTGGGGTCAAATATCCTAAATGCATTTTTTCTTCAAATTTAATGATTTTACTTAGTTATATTATATTATATTATATAAGATAAAATAATTAATATTACAATAAAATGTCGCTTTAAATTGGAACATGAAGATTTTGACAATATAATACTTTTTGGGCACATTTTACACTTGGTAAGCATTGAATTAGTTCCTTCAATATAGGATGTTAATGTAAAACATTTATCATATTTGGCCATGCTAATGATAATTCATCTGATTTTGGATTTTCAGAATCAGATGATGAGGATTAAATAATAAAATCCATGCTTATGCTAATCTATTAAATTAAAATATAAACCATAATATTCAAATTAATAAACTATGTGTTAAAAAAATTGAAATGTAAGGAAATACGCAGCCGATTAAAAAAATATAAATAATACATTTTTAAAAAAATTCGGAAATATTAAATTTTTCAAATAAATAAAAATTAAAAAAGGAACGCGTTCACGTTCAAGGTTGTCAAAAATAAAAGGAACGCGTTTGTTTGCAACACTACCTTACGCCAATATTTTATTAATATATTGATCAAAATAAACCATTTAGCAAAAATATTGATAGCTTTAATTATTCGCCACCATGAAATATCTCTTATCTCTAAATAAAAGCAAAAAAATATTCCTCTTATCTAGCATGCAATCTACCGACCGCACCCTATTCTCTTCCTTGCTCAATGGTACGGGACATGAGTTTCTTGAGGCCATCCCATCTACCAATCTTCAGCTTCAACTATCCAACAATGAATTTACCCATGCCATCGGCATTCGTCTAAATTGTTCCATCACTCACCCCCACATCTGCTCAGGGTGCAACTCGCCAGTTGACTCGAAGGGTAGACATAGTTTACATTGTCGCTCCTGCAATGGACGATTCATCAGACACAAGCAATGTAATACAATCATCCAACATGCTCTGAAATCTGCCCAAATTCCTTCCACGTTAGAACCACAGGGTCTTTTTAGATCTGACGGTAAACGTCCTGATGGGATCTCTCAAATCCCATGGAGGAGAGGCCAACTTTTGGTATGGGACTATTCCTGTATTGACCCCTTGGCCCCATCCAACCATGCCATCAACATCCTTGACCAGAAGGAACAACTTAAAATTTCTAAATACACAGAAATAATAAACGATCATTGCTTCATCCCAATCATATCAACCACTCTTGGCACCTTCGGCAAACTCGCCTTAGCATTTTTCAAAAACTTAGGATCACAAATCAGCAAACTCTCAGAAGAACCACGAGAGGGTTTTTTTCTTCGTCAACGATTATCCATAGCGATTCACAAAGCTAATTATATCAGTTTCAATGGTAGCCTTCTAGCCAAAGAGCTATCATAGACAACGCTTATGTCCCTTTTTCATTTTTGTTTCCCTGCGTCACACCATCTCCGTTCTTTTTTTTAATAGTATTATTATATATTTTTCAAACATTTTTAAATATATTAAAATTTATTATAATGAAAATTTAAATTATTATACCTTATATTGATAATAAACTATATAATAAACATTTGATATCTTTCAAAAAAAAAAAAAAAATTATATAATTTAATATTAAGAAAATATTAGAAGTCAATTTTTGGTCAAAGAAATTCGATATTAGATGGTCAGAGTGCAAATTCAATATATTTTTTTTAGCCCTAGCTCTCATAAATTTTATTTTTAGGCACAAGCCCGATCTTAAAATTTTAATTAAAAAAATATAAATTAAACGCATTTTTAATAAGATTAAAATAAAACTCAATGTTTATTCCTTAATAGGTCCAGACATTGTCTATATTGCTTTATTTTAATAAAGGACATATTATTTTTTTAGAAATTGTTTATTTTTTAAGTCTGAATCGGTC